TGCCGTGGAGCAACCTGCTCTAGTGGAAGGTGTCCCTGCCCGGGGCAGGGGTTGGAGCTGGAGGAGCTTTGAGGTCCCTTCAACCCAACCCCTCTGGTTCTGTGATGTCTCCCAGCTCTTCTCAGCACCATGGTCCCCAGCAGTCTGCCTGGTCACCTCAAACCAGTTCCCCTCTGCTCTTGCTCTTGCACACTGGAAGCTTTGTGGTCCACATGGTCCAGCCCTCACTGATTGAACAACCACAGGCTGAGGCCACTAATGGTGTTTAGTCACCGCCTGTGGTCACCCACAGCAGGGAGGAAGAGCTGGCCTGGCCACCCAGAGGTCCTACCCCAGCAGAAGCCCTCCCACCACCCACCCAGCCTGCATCTCAGGAGTCTTCCTTGATAACTGCATCAAACACTCTTAAATCAAAGAGGTTTGACCCTCAGGAGCCTCAAACTTGGCCTCCCTCCTCTCTGCCTTTGTGCCTTTCATCTGATAAAGCCACGATGTGATAATGCCTTTATGGAAAGGGCAGAGAAAACCGGGAACAGGGGGTGGAAAACAAGTTTGCTGCCTTAATCTGCCATTCCTAAGATAAGGAATATCTCAATGAGGTGACTGTTTTCTCCAGGCTGAGCTTTTCAAGCTGCACAGATAACGTTTGTGCTGCTCTGAGCTTAGTCAGCAAAGTCTTTGCCATGGAGAAAATCCATATATGGTCCCATTTGGCCCCTTGGGTGAGTCCTGTGGCACTTAAACCCATCCCGAGCGTTATTGCCTGATCCTGAACAGTTCCTGTTGCCACTTCCAGGCATGTGGCCATCAGGGTTGATTGTGGAAGTTGCCACAGTCTCCTGAGCTTGTGTCCCACATGCAGGGGTGGGTTTATTAGGCGGGCAGGAGCCAAAGCAGCTTTTGGAGGTGCTCATGGAGCCACGGAATGGTTTGTGTTGGAAGAGCTTCTGCCTCAGAGCTCATCTCAATCTCCCCTCTGGCAGGTTCAAGCCATTCCCCTTGTCCTGTCCCTCCATCCCTTGTCCAAAGCCCCTCTCCAGGTTTCCTGGAGCCCCTTTAGGCCCTGGAGCTGCTCTAAGGTGTCCCCTTCAGGAGCCTTCTCTTCTCCAGCTGCCCCAGCCCAGCTCTCTGAGCCTGGCTCCAGAGTTCTCCATCTCCACCTCCTGTTGTTCCTGAGCTGGAATGCTCAGGGTATCCTACAAGTTACTTCCAGTGCATCTCATGTAGCCTCTCAGGTCCTGTCCCCTCACACACCAATTCCTGCCCGTCATGGACAGCAGCAAAGCAAAGCATAAACCATTCTTGTCACCAATCCTGCAGGAATGGGGGTCAAAGTCACCCCCAACCACTTCAACCACCCGTTATCCCGCACCCACCACTGCTGTTGGGTGCTTGTTTAGAGCTCCTTGGTGGTTTAATGCTTCTACGCAGCCCAAACTCATCGTGAGTCCAGGTCGAGCCTCCACATGCTGGGACCTCACTTGGAGATGGGCACAACAGGCATTAAAACCCTACATTTTTCTGGATACAAGCGTCTCCCTTTGTGGATTTGATCCATCAGGAATCCTCACCCAACGCACCAGGACCGGGCAAAGCGGAGCTAAAAGCCTCGGGATCCACCCTTGGAGCGGGATTAGGGCTCTCGGCAGCCTTTGGTGCCCTCTGCCGCCGCGGGGACAACAGCGCCCAAGCTGGGCGAGCGCACAACCGTGTGGCAGGCTCCTCGCAGCTCGGTTTGAGTTTCCTCAGGGATTCCCGCTCCTCTGGGGAGCAAAGGCAGGATTATTCCCGAGCCCGGCATGTCTGATTCCCTCTCTTTCTCCACCGGATGCTGATTTCCCTCTCCCTTACATGCCATGAGCTTGGAAGGGGGATCCAAACTCCAACAGGTCCGAAGGTCCCCAGAGGGCTCTGACAACCTCCCCTCCAGCCACCACATTCCCTCAGGGCTTCCTCCCCTCAGGAGGTGTCTCCACAGCCTTTCCAAAGTCATTTTGCACCTAAAGGTGGTTTTTTTCCAGCTTTCCCCCATCTCCTTTGTTCCTGATGTGACCAAGTGCCAAATATTTGCTCTGGGGTTGGTTTTGTGGTGCTGAATTCCATAACTGGAATTCTGGCTGCAATTAAACATCCCCCAAATCAATACCTGTCTGGCCACAGCTTCCCATTGGCTCCTGGTGATGGAATCTATTGACAGAGGAATGAGCTTATCCAAAACCTTCCCCACTTTAACAAGTTAGTTCTTTCCATTGGAAGGAAAACGGAAACCTGGATCCTCAGTGATCCCAAGTTGCCCGTCCTCCAGGGAAGGCTTGGAAAATGGCTTTGAGTCGTCATTCCATGATAGAACCCTGAATTTGGGATGCAGTTTGGGTGTTTGGAAGAGGCCAGCTCACTTAAAGGTCCATATATCAGCCCAGAAACATGGGATGGAGGCAAACTGGGCTGGTTTTAAGCTGCTGTAGTGGATCTGGTCCATTTGGAGGTTTAGCTGTTGGCAAATCCATCTCTGCCAGGGTGGAGAATGGAGCAAGTTGTGTTCCCTGGCATTCCAAACCAGCTTACACACCCCTCAGCCATGAGGCTCTTCCAGTGTCTCTGTTAAATCCAAGGAGAGGATCCATCCCAAAGAATTTAGCACTTGAACTTCCTGGTCCTCTGCTCGTTACCAAAAGGAATGCAGGAGGAGCCCTCGGAGGCAGCTCATCCCTCCATCACCCCACCAGGAGCTTTGGATAAACATCCCAGCAAATGGGATCCCACAAACAGGGGAGGATGCAGCTTGGCATCACCAGCACCTCCACCTCCGTGCTCCCCAGCACCCAGGGCTCACCTCCTGTTCCCCACTGTGGGGCTGGCCCAGCAGGACCTTCCTCTCCATCACAGGCTCTCCATGTGGGACCCACACCAACACAGGCCCAGGGCTGCTTTATGGAGCTCCAGCCACCTCCAGCAGCTCCCATGGACCTCCGATGGCTTCACCTACCCCAGCACGGAGCACGTGCTCCTGAGCAGCCTTCCTGGAGGGAAGCCCATGTCTGAGCCCTTGGAGGGTGAATGGGTGGGAAGGTGGGAGCTTTGTCATCTCTCCAAACCACCCCCCAAAAGGATCCAGCCTCTGCCTTCCACCAGCACCAAGGTGAAGGAAGCTTGCAAAGGGCTTCCAGCATGGGATAATCAAGGAAGAGCAGGCAAAGGAGCAAGGCCCAGCTTGGAATGACTCTATATCCCAGTGGGATTCGGAGCAGCTCTTTCTAATACCTACAGCAAATCCCCCTGAGCCCTGTGGAGTAGTGAATCCCTCTGTGTAGTGTGGAGGAAAAGGCTTTTCCTGGTGGGAATGGCCTCATCCCATGGCAGGGACACAGTGTGATGGGAAGAAGAAGTGGCACCTTCCCTGGGAGGGTGCTGAGGCGCTGGCACAGGGTGCCCAGAGAAGCTGTGGCTGCCCCATCCCTGGCAGTGTTCAAGGCCAGGTTGGACACAGGGGCTTGGAGCAACCTGCTCTAGTGGAAGGTGTCCCTGCCCGGGGCAGGGGTTGGAACTGGAGGAGCTTTAAGGTCCCTTCATCCCAAACCATTCCATGGTGATTCTCACAGCCCGTTGGAGCAGTCCCAAAGCAGATGCCCACTGAGGGACACATCCTCCACCCCTCTTCTCTGATAACCTCCTCCAGCTCTGTGTTTTCCATGTGTAGCACACCACGGATGTGTGCAGGGAACCAGCCCCCTGCCTGGGGCTGCTCCTTGTCCCAGCTCCTGCCCATCAGACCACGCTGCTCCCCTGCACAGGGCAGGGGTACAGGGGCACGTTGGGTGCTGTTGTCTGCTCTCTGGCTCTCTTGGCAGTTCACAGCTCCCTGCAGGCACAGACTCGGCTCTGACGCTGATGGGGAACCTGGTGCCAAGGCTCCATGTGGGGTTTTGAGGCTGTGGCTTCAAGCCAGCTCCAGACTTTCCATCTTGGGGGTCAGCCAAGACCTTCTCCTCAGCAGACCCCACTTGCCCAAACACCATCTCACATCTCCCTTTGGTTTAGGTGCTTTATCCCTTTCCTCCCATCGTCGCCCATCAAATCCTACCAGCATCTCCTTGATTTCGTTTCCTTGGTGCCATTTAACATCTACCCTTAATTCTTTGTTCTCCAGAGCTGGGGTGAAGCTGGTTCTGGGGGATGAAAGCCAGCTCCAGCCCATATGGTGCCCGTGGTCCCCAGCTCCTCGGCGCAGGGTCTGGCTTTGTTTTCCTGCAGGCCAAGGTGACCGTGCCAGCACGTGGTGCTGCGACGGGGGCCAAGGAGCCCGCTCCAGCACCGCTGACGTAGCCCAGCACCAGTGACCTTGGCATCGCTCAATCAGCAGCATCCTGAGCTGGGTTTTCCCCCATGAGGTCCCAGTTTGACCTGTGGCTGATCCCAGTTCCACAGGCAGCAATGGGATGGATGATGGACCAGCAATGCCCTCCTGTTGGGATACGGAGAACCCGGGAGGGTGCTTCTCTCCCAGCTCCAGCCTTCCACGAGCATCTCCATGCCCCAGCATTTGAGTTGGGTGAAGATGGGGAATCCTGAGCTTGACATTGCCCCAGTGCCTCCGTTAAGGACGTTGTGATAAGTGCCCCTGAGCTGTTTGCCTTCCTTATCATGAGCACTGCCCAAACAACGCGCTTGGGATATAAGGAACCTGCCTGGGACACGCTGGCTGTGTCTCTGCACCTCAGCTGGTAGAACCACCATGAAGCTGCTCCTGCTCTTCAGCTTGGTGGCCCTGGCACAATGCATTCCCCACAGGTAAGCACTGGGGGGGTTGAGGTGCTGAGGACCCCCCAGGACCCACGCTCGGG